GTGGGCTGCCCCTCACAGAGGACAACGGGGAGGTCCCGAATGATGCTGTGCCACGGTTTCACCTGGAGAAGGCAGTCTCCCACGAGAGCCTGGTGATTGGTGCCATCGAGAACGCCTTTAAGCTCATGGTGAGCAAGCCTCTGCCTGCAGGGACACGCAGGGCATCCCCTGGGAGCACCTCTGTACTGCCTGTGGCTGCAGGGAGGGCTCCTAGCAGGATGGTCTTGGAGAGGGCACTGCAATGCTCTCCCAGGATGCAAAGGCTTTGGGCTCTGGGTCTCTGTGGGTGCAGAAGGCTTCATTACACTTGATTCCAGCAGTCCCAGCTGCCTCACCTCCCTGGTGAGGCCACGTTCCCGGCTGCCCCATGGGACCCCCAGCCCTGCAGCCAGCCCTGGGCTGCGTGGGGGAAGGTCCCTGGGCCCGGCTGGCTGCTGCTCCCACCTGGAGCAGGCTCTTGGCTTGCTCAGCAGCCGGGTGCTATTTTGGGCTGCTTGCAGCTTTGCTTGCTGACGTGGGGCCGCCTGCCCCCCCTGCCTGGAGCTGCTCTCTGCCTCCCCAGGATGACCAGATCGAGCGGGAGCGGGCGTCCCAGCACCTGCCCGGGGGCTGCTGTGCCTTGGCTGCCATCTACCTCATGGGCAAGTTCTACGTGGCCAACGCCGGTGACAGCAGGTATGTCCCTCCTGGTCATCGGGGAGCACCCTGGCAGAGCAGGGCAGTGCTGGAGGCATGGCTGGTGAGGACAACCCAGCTGCATCCCAGAAGCTGGGCTGCCTTGGGGAGAGCAGTGAGAGCAGGACGGGGCAGAGCCACCCCTGCCTGCCCGCACACCCCGCGGGGAGCCTGCCCTGCCGTGACCTCCCTCTTTGCCCGGTGCACACATGGGGCTGAAGAATCACCTCCCAAAAATCTGGGACTTGCTCCTTTACTTCCCAGCAATGTCCTGTCTGCTTCCCAGATGGATCACACACTGTCCTCTGCTGCCAGTGCTGGCCTGGGCTGTGAGTTGGGGAGTGAAAATTGCCCTCAGCAAAGCTTTCAAAATGTGCAGAAGTCCTTCTGAGGGCACACTTCATACCGGTGAACTGTTTAAGGAGGACACTCAAATCTCCGTGCTGACAAGTCCCCTGGGAGCTTGGAGCCCGAGGACTCTGACTGATCCATGCATTTCTTTGGGTGGTTACTGTACCTGTGCCTGGACGTGTTCATACCCCCAGGCAATGGCAGAAAGGCAAGTCCACCTCCTGAGGGTGAAGGTGCTTTGGATTGCCCTTGTGTTTACTGCTGAGTTAGCTTGTCCCAGCAGTGTCAGGCCAGCAGATATCTGCTCTGGTAAATTGTCTGAGGCTGGAGGATGTGCTTCCAGCTCTGGGACAGAGGAGGAGGAGATCCTTTGTACCTCCACATTCAGGGCCCTCCATGGCCAGAGTGGCCAGGCGCTGGCCGTGCGAGATGACAGCGTGCAGAGGGTGCCAGGGCTGTCACCGTGCCTCTGGGCAAGGGCCTGTTCCCTCCTCGGGCACCAGGTGCTGCCAGAGCTGCAGTCAGGCCCTGCATCCCTAGAGGCAGGACAGCAACTGGCGCAGCTGGGCCACCAGTGTTGGTGATCCTTGATCCCCCCATGACATCCAGAAACATCTCATAATCAGACTTTTTTATTTATCACATCAGACAACCAGCCCAGCCCCAGCAGCGAGCCCCCGTGCTGCCGTGCATCGGACACTGGCACCCGTGTCTGCTGCTGGCTTCTGCCTGTCCTGGGAGCGGCTCCCCTGGGGAGGAGGGTTCACCCCCTTCGTGCAGCTCATTGTCTGACCATATCCTGTCCCTTGGTTTGCTCTGCTTCATTCCCCTCTGCCCCATGCTTCTCTTCCATTTTCTTTTCCACCCGGCCCCTGTCCTGTGCAGCGGGAGGCACGAGCGGCTGTGGGGCTGGTGGGGGGCTGAGGAGGAGCCAGCCGAGCCCAGCCCCCAGCCCGGGGCTGGAGGAGGTGCCAGTGCCTGGGCAGCCGTGCAGGGCATCGCCCCGGAGAGCTGGGCTTAGCTCCCCCCCACGTCTCCTCTCCTCCTCTCTAACCTCATCCTCCCATGTTTCATTGCAGGGCCATTATCATCCGTAACGGGGAAATCATTCCAATGTCCAGGGAGTTTACTCCAGAGACAGAGAGGCAGAGGCTGCAGTTTTTAGGTAGAAAGACCC